CTAAATTTCTGGGATTCCCCAAATAGGGATATTTTTATTGCTCTAAAAGACAAGCCCATCGCTCATGGGAGGGTTATTGATCTTGATGACATAGAAGCCCTTAACTGTAAGGTCAAAGAACTTTTCGTTTATCAAGGATGGGCAAAGTTCCTCTCTATTCCTCCGCCTGACGTGTATGAACCCCTGGTCAAAATGTTTTATGCAAATCTTCGTTCTAGTAAACCTGATAGGTTGGAATCTCTGGTGCTAGGTCAGCGCATTGTTCTTGATTGTGCCCTATTTGACTCACTTTTTCAGTGTCGTTGTTCTGGTTTTCCTACTTTGTTTAACAACATCTGGCCTGATGACTTCGAAATTTCTTTTGACCAAGCCAAATAGTGTATTGCTGAGTGTCCCTCTGAAACCCTTCCAAACCAATTCGGCCCCAGTGATGTCAGTTTTAAAACACGGGTTCTGGCCCACATTGTGGCAACCACCTTGCTTCCCCGTACTGGTTCCTTTTCAACCTTCTCTCAAAGAGACACATTCTTTGTCTATTGCCTTGTAACCAAACTCAAAATCAAGCTTTCCTCCTGGGTCATCAATTTCATGATAGAAAGTGCTAAAGATCCCACTAGTTTACCCTATGGCATGGCAATCACTCATATTCTAGAAGCCCATCAAATTTCCCTGTCCAACTATCCCTTCATCACTGTCTCCAAGTCCTACAATTCTAGAGCCTTTGCTAGTATGGGCTATGTAAATATCAAGGGCTCCTGGGTTAAGAAAGGCGAGAGTGAAGCAAAACAGGCCCCTGTAGAACCCAAACCTTCACCCGCTATTCCCCCACTTCATCTTGACAGTTCTGAGCTTAGTGACAAGCTTTGTGTTATTCACTCCCAACTCTCGAAATCAAGAACCTTCTCACCACCACTCAGTCTACTGTTGGTGACATTCATGTTATTTCCAAGGAAACAGGGTCTGACGTGTCCAAAATTAGAGTTGCTGTTCTCAGAGTGAGGGAGAATGCTGTCAGAGCTTTCAGGGAGATTCATGACAGGCTGGATGGTGTGAGCATCTCTGCTAATGCAAGCTTCGAACAGTTAAAGGAGTCCATCTGCAACACCCCTACCTATTTCCCGCGCCGCTAGTGTGGTTGTTTTTAAGACAATTTGTTTTGCTGTTGTTTGTTTTAGACAATTTGCTTTTGTGGGCTGTGTTTTAAGCCCTTGGATAATTTTTTTTTGCTCTGCTGCTTTTGTGGGCTGCTTTACTAGCCATTGGATAATCCCTTTACCTCCTCTGTTTTAATGATATTTTTTCAGTTCTCGTATTGTTCCCTCTTTGCTGATGACAAAAAGGGGGAGAAAAATCTATATTGTACAGGTAGCCATATATATATTGTACAAGTACAGTGAAGAAATAGAAGTCGACTGGTCTGTTACCTAGTCAAGTCGACTGCATACATTGAGGGGGAGTAAAACACAGGGAAGTCGACCGGTGTTTACTTCTTTACATTACTATAGTATTTTGCCATCATCAAAAAGGGAGAGATTTATAGATTCTGTTATACTGATGCAAATAACATATATGTGCAGGAAATCAATTACAAGAAGTAAAGAAGAGTCATCAAGACTGCTGAAGTAAATCTTGATGAATAAGGGAAGAAATAAGATTACCATACAATCAGTCAATCTGGACAACTAAGGAAAGGACTTGCAAATATGGACGAAATCCAATCAACAAATCAACCAGCAAAGAGCAACAACTAGCTGAGCTGAAGAGAATCAATCAAGCCTTAAGTTAAGGCACAAATCAAGGGTAGCATCATGGAAGATCGAAAGCTATGAGAAGATTGGTACGCGACTAAGTTTGAAAGATCCAACAATCAAGGAGCAGTCTTCACTCGTATCTATGCTGAAGGAAGGAAATCAAGAAGTCGCAACGACTCTCTACCTTATTCTTGGAAAGAATCAATTCTTTCCAAGGATCAAATCTCTTTGGTTGTCAAGCCTCTACCATCCATCAAAGTATTTATACCCCGTTTTAAACCCTAGTCTCATATACTTTGATCGAACCAAAATCACTCTCTTTGTTCTACTGCAAACTAGCATTATAGTTTACTAAGATCTGTTGTATAACAAGTCAGGGAAAGAAAGAGAGCATAACACTGGTGAGGCATTGTATCAAAAACGAGTGCTTGAGAAACTGTGTGCAAATTCACTACAACTGTACTCGGAGAAAAGCATTTACTAAAGAGAACTCCCTTGCAACCCAAGGGGATTGGACTAGAATTCACATTAAATCCGAACCAGTATAAAATCCTGGTATCTTTAATTCCTGCCGTTACTTTATGCAATTTACTTCCTTTTACTATATCTGCTGAATTATCATATCTAGTCGACTACTCAATTAATAAGTCAACTAATAAGCAATTAAGTTCAAATATTTACAATTCACCCCCGCCTCTTGTACTTTCAGATAAGTCGGTGGGTGGCAAGCTGTGGCCATGACATTGGCGTAGAGTAGTGTCAAAGGGTAAGGCTGGGCGCAATGCCAACCTTGGACACGCAGCAGCTAGGCAAAACATGCACATGCTGTGCACATGCAGTAGTTACAAAACGTGTGCAAGGCACATGAGAGGCAGTTGGCGGTTACAACCGCATCCAAAACATGGGCTAAAAGTGTGGGCACGTTTTTGTATATGTCTTAGGATGTTTGCCCATAATTTGGGGCTTGTCAACTGATTGTTTAAATTCTGCCAAGTATAATTGGGCAGCAACACTATAAATATGTGCATAAGCTATCCCAACAGGCAGAACTTAGTTTTGTGCATTAAACCAAAAAACGTCAAAGTTATTCCTAAGGGTGGGAAAAATCGTTTAAGGTAGGGAACTTGGGAGTTCTTTGCCTTGGCCATAGGGTTGGCTTCTTTGTGTTCTTGTATTCACATATTAATACGAGTTGGGACGAAATTCCTGTAAATTTCCTGTGTGCCTTTTACTTTATTTGCTGCCTAAATTTTTCTAAGTCTCAAATGTCCCTAAAATAAATCTAAGTGTTGGAAAGGCTGAAGTCAAGGTTGGGCTTGACTGCCGCACAGAGGTGAACCTCGGGCAGAATTCGAGTGACATAAATCACCCCTATGAACCTTGGCTTATAGTGAATGTGATCAAAATTGAGAAACAAATTTACTCACATATAATGTTTATATTCTACTAATTAATATAAAATACGTGTATTTGTTCAAATTCTTATTATTTGACTATAGTAAATATCATACGATATCTCATCTAAATTTAAAGAATTAATTTAATTACGTTATTTGGTGGGAGTATCGCGTATTAATTTTGGGACACGTTTGCACTTAGCACCTCGGCAATCGGTAGTTTGGATTTTTAACGTCGAAGTTGATAGGAGGATATTTTTGAAGTTAGAGGCAAAAAAATGAAGACTATGGAATCACATCAGTCCAAAACAATCTTTCATTTCATGGCCTATCTTTCGTTGAAGAGCCGGGAAATTAACAAGCACAATGTCACGACCCAAATCGATAGGCCACGACGGGTACCCTGTGCCCTTATTCAACCGAGTACCAACGTAACGTATCTTTTTCAATACATCAACATGGGTAAATGGGCTAGAAGGGTCATATGGGGTAACAAGAATAAAACATGAGAGAACACTCGACATAAAATGACCCAACCTGATACGAGGGATGGCATATACACGTCGCAATAAAGAACTCCAATGCTTCAAAGAACAATGCAACCAAAAGAATAAGGCAAGCCTTTAATCAATTCGAAGGAAGACAGGGTAACGTAACCTTTCACAAAGGACTTATACATATGACGTACGGGCCTATAAGGCCAAAATAATCACTCATACACTGAACATAGGCCGACAAGGTCAGACAATCTTTCATATACATGGCATATGTCTACAAGCCTCTAAGAGTACATAAACGTCATAAGGCCGGACATGGCCCCGACATTCCAATCAATACATGTCTAAATCATACTAACCAAATAAGTAACTCCGGAGCAAATGGAGCGCACCAACGTCTTCCGCTGAGCTGATAGCCTACTTGGAGGGCTTTCAACTTGTCTATCGAGACCTGCGGGCATGAAACGCAGCGTCCCCAGACAAAAGGGATGTCAGTACAAATAATATACCAGGTATGTAAGGAGTGAAAATCAGTAAATAATATACATGAAAAAAACATGGAGCAAAAGACTCAACATGTATATCTGAATGGCTCTGTGAATCATTTAATATTATAATGTCATGCATATGCGTATAAATGTCACACTATGCATGGGTATATGCGTTCATAACATCATCAAGTCTCCGAGGGCATCCCATCATATCATCTCGGCCATTGTGGGCAAATCATCAACGTATACCAGCTGATCAGATGTTACGCCTCGCAGTATTACGACGATGTTACGCTTCGTAGTATTAAGTTACAACGATGTTGCACCCTGAAGTATTGTACGTTGAATTCGTCGTAAAGTAATTGACATCAATCCAAGTAAAATATTATTTGGAGATTGTAAGATTATGCTATTTCACTAGTGATTAGTAAAGGTGAAAGGGGGAGAAAGTCAAAGAAAATGAATTTTCGTCCAAGTTTGGCATGTTGGGATAAAATACGGCTCAAGCTAAACCGGTAGTTATAGACTAGTACCATACAAGGTACCACATGATGATAATAGTAAGGTGTATAAGGTATGTGAAAAGTGAGTAATATTTTAAGTAAGTGGGAATAATTCTCAATTTTGCGGATAATTGATTAATTATCGGGTAACGAGACATTACCTAGTTAATTAATAAATTAAGTGGACAAATATCCTTTTTGGGGCTGCCACTTGGCATTAATCTAAGCCAAAGTGGCAACAAAAGACTTGATGAGTCATTAGGCATGAGATGCCTTGTTTACACGTACAACTCTTGAATTAAAAAGCTAGGCTAAATCATTTTGGTTTGGATTTCGCGTGTGGGTGACATGACTATGGAGAGGTCACGGAAAGGATCTACATTTACATATGTTGATTAAGTTAGGCAGATTCTCCCATTTCATGGACTTATGGCATCAATCACATTTATTAGCCCACATCTAAGGTACGTATGAAGTAAATTGTTCTGAAAGTCCATTAAACTGGACAAGTAGGCAAGGATGATTTTTGTGTTCCAGTCCCATTCTTATATCTTTCCCATTAAGTAACGTAAGGTTTTAAAAGAATATTCATCATTTCACAAAAATAGGAAGGGAAACGTTATGCAAGAGTCTTTCTTCGGCCAAGATTTTCTTCGAGCAACGTGATTGCGCTGAGCTTTTCATACGACTTGTTCCATGTTTTGTCACAATTAACATGTGTTGAAAGATTATTAAAAGAACCGGCTCAGGTATGTTAAGGCTATCCCTTCTATTCTTTTGGCATGATCCATACGATACGAACGAAACGTGCAAATGCACAAATTCCATAAATGACTCTATTCATAGAAGTATTAGAGATATCTATGTTCTTGAATTTCCATGTGTCATAATATATTATCTTCTGTTCATGGATCTCAGAATAATACACAGTTGAAAAAGTTTATCTAGAAGAAATATTGGGATTATTACGTATTTTTCATGCATTTCACTCATTTATACATGTGCATTGACCCATGACCAGAAGGCGTTATATACGCGTATATATGTAAATATATGTATATGGGATATGGGAAAAGGTTACGGCGTTATATACGCACCACCACCTGATCAGCTGGTATATGATGATGATGTTGCCCACCGTGGCTGAAATATGATTCAAACGACGTTATATACGCGTATATATGTAAATATGATTCAAACGGCGTTATATACGCATATATATATATATATATATATATATATATATATATATATATATATATATATATATATGTATATGTATATGGGATATGGGAAAGGTTATGGCATTATATACGTACCACCACCTGATCAGTCGGTATACGATGATGATTTTACCCACAGTGGCCGATATCATATGATGGGATGCCCTCAGAGGCTGATGATGTTATGAAACATGTACCTATGCATGACATGACATTCATACGCATACGCATGACGCTAAAAGTAATTTATGATTTACAAAGTTATTCAGACTTACAGGTTGAGTCATGTACTCTATATGTCTTCCATGTCTCTTATGTATTTATTTATGTGCCTTACATACTCGATACATTATTCGTACTGACGTCCCTTTTGCCTGGGGACGCTGCGTTTCATGCCCACAGGTCCCGATAGACAGGTCGAGAACCCTCCAAGTAGGCTATCAGCTCAGCGGAAGATGTTGGTGCGCTCCATTTGCTTCGGAGTTGCTCGTTTGGTTAGTATGATTTAGACGTGTATTGTTTTGGTAAGGCGGGACTCTGTCCGACCTTTATGACATTTATGCACTCTTAGAGGCTTGTAGACATATGTCGTGTAATATAAAAGATTGTACGGCCTGGTCGACCTATGTTTTGAGTTTATAAAGGATCATGTTGGCCTATTAGGTCCGTATGTCGTGTGTAATATATAATGTAATAAGAAAAGATACGTTACGTTGGTACTCGGTTGAGTAAGGTACCGGGTGCCCGTCGCGGCCCATCGGTTTGGGTCGTGACAAGGTGGTGGTGCGTATATAACGCCGTAACATTTTCCCATATTCCATATACATATATATGCGTATATAAACGGCATCTGGTCATGGGTCAATGTAAATGAATGCAATGAATGAGAAGTACGTCAATAAAATCTTTCGGAAAGTCATAGGACCATTATACCTTTGATTAATATCATGAAGTAAACATTATCAACTTACGTAATTTCTGAGACCCATGAACAGATGATAGAATAATATGACACATGGGGAATTAAGAAACATAAACTTCTCTAGTATTTCTATGAATAGAGTCATTTATGGGAATTGTGCATTTGCTCATTTCGTTTGTATCGTATAGATCATGCAAAAGAAAGAAGGGTTTAACCTTAACATACCTGAACTGATTCTCTTGACAATACCTTTAACACCCGTTGATTGCGACAACATGTAACGACGAATAAAAGTAAGGAAAAATTTGTATGATATTTCTCGAAAAAGATTGCACCATACTTCCTTAGAATCACAAAATCTCACATTTCTAAGATACTAAGAATTCTCGTTTGAATTCTTGAAGACGCTTATGGGATTTTGTTGACTTGTTGAAGATGAAAATTCTCAGGTTAACATGAATGTGCATCTCTCTTTATGAAGTAAGGAGATCTTTAAATGTGTGAGCTCCATCCGTTGCCTAGAATTGCAATTCTCTTAGAATTTCAAATGGAACATATTGTAGTGTGATGACTTATATCGGAGTCTTTTTTTAAAGAGGGTGGACCCGACTTTAGGATGACTTTGGCCATAAGATCTTCTAGTTGTGACACATACATGACTTAAGAGTCATTTTTAGCCAAAGCTTCTTGGCTGCCACGTGGGGGAATTTGTCCCCACCTATTAATTATCCACAAATTCTTAATTACATGGTTAATCTTCCGTTATATCAATAAATTAACTAATTACCCACATAATTAAAAACTATCTCAAATTACTTAAAATCTACTTATTTTTAACACATTTTATACATCATACCATCAAGGTCATGTGGTACCTTGTATGAGAATAGTCCATAAATATCGGGTATTTAGTTCGGACGTATTTTGTTACATCCCGTACCTTTAATAGTAGGATATTTGTAGTAATCCAATATGAGTTTGAAGGGATTAAGACTATTTATGAGGTTATAAAGATTTGTGACTATGTCATTGTAAGACCCCGTAAGTTTAACAACCTTGATACCGTTATATATATATATATATATATATATATATATATATAATTATATAATATATATATATATATATATATATATATATATATATATAGTGATATGGTATTTAGAGTGAATATTTTTGTAAAACAGTTTGAAAAAAATATGATTTTTATATAGTTATTGATATTACTACTTTCAATTATACACATAATATGAGAAAGTTTATGAGATTTTCTTTATTGTAAAGATAGAAATTATTTTCTCACAAGAAAAGAAGGTTATCTTTTTACCATTTTAAGAATTAAGCATACGAATTTTTTTACTATTTATATGAGATTAGAAAAATTAGGAGTTGAGAAAATATAGGTATTTTTACATGGATGTTTTAATGAAATAATAGTGTATGTATTAATTTTATATGGTACCCCATGACACGATAATATGGTACGCAAGTTATATTAAAAATGAGTAGTATATTAAGTAATTTGAGATAATTTTTAATTATGTAGGTAATTGGTTAATGAAAGATTAACTATTTAAATAAGGAATGGGTGGGTAAGACTAACCCCCCCCCCCCC